CTGACTCCTGGCTTCCAATCACTTAAGCGCCGATCCAAGTTGTAGCCACTTGGGGAATGAACCAACAGATGCAAGATCTTTCTCTCTGTCTCTCCTTCTCTCTGTAAACTTGCCTTTACAATAAAAATAAATAAATCTTTAAAAAATTAACTAGAGATATGTTTAGCAATAAAAATTGGAGAATGTTTCAACTGAACATCTATGAAGTAGCTTTGCAATGTAGGTTAAGATGACTTCACACTTCTGCCTCTTTAACATTTTCCAATTGTACACTTATCCTCTGGAGAATTCTAATTCAGGGCAAGCAAACCTCATCCTCTTGAGAAGGCTAATTCCGGGTCCCAAAATCTTTATCTGCTGGACAGGCAAAGGATGCACAGGACTGCGTCAGGTATTAAAGGATCTCCACAGAGTGTAAAATGTCACCTTTTGCTTTGTTCTGCAATCTTGACATTTTTTAAAGGGAAAGGACCTCCGGGGAAGGATCTGGGAAATGGAGAAACTCTTTTAAAAAGTGGGGGAAAGAGACACTCTGCAGCACTGACTTTTGATTCCTTATTTGCAAAACTTTCCCATTCTACAAACACATTGGCCCCTACAGAGTACACCGCTGCTTTCAAGCCGCACTCATGCCACATGCCCGTGTGTCTTCGCATCTTCCTGACACATCTAAATATCAGAAAACCTTTCAGGTCAGCCAAAATCCTATTGAGTCCTTCATGCTAACTTCAGGCTACAGTAATTTCTCCCCTTGAACTCCTTCGGCATGAATGCAGATGTAAATTACATTACATAACCACAGCTTTTTCAAGGTAGGCTATGCGATGACTTCTCTCCCACCGCAGTTCCTAGCCTAGGTGAACAACCGCGCACTACTGAGGTCTAATGAGAGAACATGCTCAAAAAGTAACATGTTCCAGGCCCAGGGCAGTGCTGCAATTAGTTATCCTTCCCCTTCAAGTGCTGGCATCCCATACAGGTACTGGTCCCCATCCCAGCTGCTCCACTTTCCTTCTAGCTCAATGCTTGCGGCCTGACAAAGCAGTGAAGGATGGCCCAAAGCCTTGGGATCCTGCACCCCATGGAATAAGCTCCTGGCTTTGGATCGGTTCAGCTCCAGCTGTTGCAGCCTCTTGGGGAGTGAAACAGCAGACGGAAGATCAGCCTCTTTAGATCTGCCTGCTTTTCCAACAAAAATAAATAATTTTTTTTAAGTAACATATTCCAATGTTAGCCAAATCAAAGTGTTTTTCAGAAACACAAAACAGTATCTTCTTCCACATGTGTCCAAATATTTATCATTTATGATTCCCTAACTTTCCCTTTTTCTGAGCCAAACACATTTTAGATATTTTAACTTCTCCAACATTCCAGTTTCTAGCTTACTCCTCACACTAGCTACCTTGTAAACAAAATGCCAGGCAGGTCTGATGGTGAGATAGATGGCTTAATTTCCTTGACCCCACAATAACACGTAACACAAGAAAACAATATATTTTCTGGGCCTGACATGGTAGCCTTGTGGATAAATCCTTGGCTTGGACACACCTGGATCCCACATGGGTGCCAGTTCCTGTCCTGGCAGCCTCACTTCCCTTCCAGCTCCCTGCCTGTGGTCTGGGAAAGCAGTCGCAGACGGCCCAAAGCCTTGGGACCCTGCACCTGCGTGCGAGACCCAGAAGCTCCTAACTCCGGACTTGGCTCAGTTTCGGCTGCTGGCAACCACTTGGGGAGTAAATCACCAGAGAGAAGACCTTCGTCTCTGTATATTTGCCTTTCCAATAAAAACAAATAAATCTTTTTTAAAAAGAAACATATATTGCTTTTTCCCATGGCAAATTTTCTTAAGATTGACTCCATTGAAGTCTCAGGGTGGCAGACCATAGTCAAAGCAGGTAATTCCTCATCTTTCTATTTTTTTGATAAATAAGTATCTCAAGTGTATATTTATACTTACCAAATTGAATTATATCTTCCTGTCTTTGGCAACAATCATGACTCTTACTTCTTTCCCCTACTGTACTTACACAATCAACATAGATAAGCCATTCTTTTGAAATGGTTTTAACCATGGTGCCAGATGCTAACCAACAACAGCAACAACAACAAAGAACAGAGCCACATAGCCAGGAGCCTGGAGCTTCTTCCAGGTCTCCCACACAGGTACAGGGTTCCAAGGCTTTGGGCCATTCAACTGTTTTTCCAGGCTATAAGTAGGGAGCTGGATGGGAAGTGGAGAAGCCAGGATATGAACCAGCGCCCATATGCGATTTCAGCACAAGCAAGGCGAGCGAGGACTTTAGCTGCTAGGCTACCGTGTAGGGCCCAGGCCACAAGATAGTTTATTTACAGAAACAAGAGAAAAACAAATCCCCACAAACCTTTGAGAGATCAAAGGTACATTGGAACATGTTTTTGATACATCATCATTCTAATTTCAAATTCTAATTACCAAATGATCTATCCCAGAACTAGACTGCTACATTCCAGCTATATTCACATCTTTTCATCTTTTGTAAGGCAGAAACATATTTTCTGATCCTCAGTTTCCTTATACTCCACTGTCCTCCAGAAATTTTTTTCAAAATACTAAGTGGCTCTATCAACGTATCTGCTAGAGTTATCCTGATATTAAAGTATGAGACTGCCAAGGGCCTAGAGACTTGAACTATCCACTCTCCCACTTACCATTGCTTCAATTCTTTCTGATATTATTTCTATATTTTTCTATTTGAAAATCATTTGCCTTTCAGGAAAATCCAGAAGCAAAACAGCAGCTATGCAAAGTTACTGGAGTTTCTCTTCGTCCTGTTACTCTTCTTACCCTATCAAACACACAAATGACCCTCTGGCACTCATTTCTTCAAGCATTCAGCTCATTTCCTATTTCAGTCTGATACTATCTAATCCTTACAGTTTTTCTTGCTTATATTCTCCACATTTTTATGCTCTGGATTAAAGTTTTTAACTCACACAAAATCTTCTTCCTTCCATTTTTACTGAGATTATTTGCATTTTTTAAAAAAGATTTATTTATTTTTATTGCAAAGTCAGAATACAGAAAGGAGGAGAGACAGAGAGGAAGATCTTTCGTCTGATGATTCACTCCCCAAGCGGCTGCCATGACTAAAGCTGAGCCAATCCAAAGCAAGGAGCCTGGAGCTTCCTTCGGGTCTCCCACACAGGTGCAGGGTCCCAAGGCTTTGGGCCGTCCTTGACTGCTATCCCAGGCCACAGGCAGGGAGCTGGATGGGAAGCAGAGCAACTAAGACACAAACTGGTGCCCATATGGGATCTTGACACGTCCAAGGCAAGGATTTAGCCAATGAGCCATCGCACCGGGCCTGCTGATCCACTTCTACCCCAGCTCTGTGCTAACGACCTGGGAGAAGTTGCAGAAGTTGGACCAAGTATATGCACCCCAGCCACCCGAGTACGGTAAACTCACTTGAAGCTCCTGGCTTGGCCTGGCCCAGCACTGGCAATTACAGCCTTCTGTGGCATGAACTCTTTCAATAAAGAAACAAAAACAACAACTGTGGGCATCTGGGGAATAACCAATGAAAAGAAGATCTCTTTGATTCTCAAACCTCATTTTAAAAAAAAATCAGGGACCAGCACGGCGTGGCCTAGCGGCTGAGGTCCACACCCTGAACACAGCGGGACCCCATATGGGCACCAGTTCCAATCCCAGTAGCTCCACTTCCCATCCAGCTCCCTGCCTGTGGCCTGGGAAAGCAGTCAAGGACGGCCCAAAGCCTTGGGATCCTGTACGCATGTGGGAGACCTGGAGGTGGTTCCTGGCTCCTGGCTTCAGATCGGTGCAGCACTGGCCATTGCAGCCACTTGGGGAGTGACTGATTGGATAGAAGATCTTCCTGTCCGCCTCTTCTCCTCTTTGTATGTCTGACTTTCCAATAAAAATAAATAAATCTTATTTAAAAAACAAAGTCCCACACTGTGAGGCGTAGACTCTGAGCCTAGGCATCTACTCTGAATCACTCTTACACATCAGACATGATTTTCTTCCTGTTCCCAAGAGACTGTGGTCAGTCATGGATCCACCCTCAACTTTTTAGGACCCTGCACACTGCATACCAAATGCTTAGCAAAACAAACTGAAGATTACAGGAAGAAATTTTTTTTTAAAGATATATTTTAAATCTTAAAAGGAGAGACACAGAGGAAGATCTTCTGATGGTTCACTCCCCAAGTGAACATAACAGCTAGAGCTGAGCCGATCTGAAGCCAGGAGCCAGGGGCTCTTCCAGGTCTCCCATGTGGTTGCAGGGTCCCAAGGCTTTGGGCTGTCCTCAACTGCTTTCCCAGGCCACAGGCAGGGAGCTGGATGGAAAGAAGGAATGCCAGGATTAGCACCAGCACCCATGGGATCCCTGGTGCGTTCAAGGTGAGAACTTTATCACTAGGCTACCACACTGGGCCCATGGAAGGAATTTATATTTTGTCCTTGCAAGCCAAAATCCAAGGAAACTAATAATACAAATAAATCAATTATTAGCAGTAAGGACAGGTACACGATCATAGGCCCCGTAGGCCAAAGGACTCCTTTGAGTTTCTACTGGGTTTGTCTGTACAAATCAAATTCTCTTAGAAAATAATGACAAGTAGCTTGTAAAGTTTCTGAAAGTTCTGTGTGTGTGTGTGTGTGTGTGTGTGTGTCTTGTAGCTGGTTTTCTACTGGCAACTGTTGGGACATGTGCAAATCATAGCAGACTGAACCGCAGTAAGCCCTGCAAAGTGCAAGAGATGGGGCTAGGAAAGGCACTTCTGCGGTGAGCTGCTGCTTCCACTTTTGACCCAGGGGTTGGAGTGCAGGCCAGGCTGGACTGGAAAGTAGCACATGGGAGAGGAGAAAGATAGCCAGCTCCTTCCGGGCTATGCTGTATAACGACAGAGCTGAGTGGGGAGCACAGTTCACTCTGTAGCACACATAGTACATGAAACATTGCCACAAATCTGCTCTGAAGAAACAAAAGTGTCAGGGCAGAGCGCAAACGCAGTATCCCACTACCCCACAAATTATGCAGTTGAGTTTCCCACATTTGGGGAAATCGCAGGGGTCAGCACAGCCCAAGTGCAATGGGTGAGCCTCACCTGGGGAAACCACCTGCCTGATCATGGCATCTCCACTGCCAGGGAAGTATCTGAAAGGTCTTATAAGTCATCTTCGAAACTTCAGTAGGTTTAAGCAGAAACTTTTGTGTTTTTTTTAAGATTTATTTCTTCTTATTACAAAGTCAGATATACAGAGGGGAAGAAGAGACAGAGAGGAAGATCTTCCGTCCGATGATTCACTCCCCAAGTGAGTGCAACGGCCGGTGCTATGCCGATCCGAAGCCAGGAGCCAGGAACTTCTTCGAGGTCTCCCACGCGGGTACAGGGTCCCAAGGCTCTGGGCCGTCCTTGACTGCTTTCCCAAGCCACAAGCAGGGAGCTGGATGGGAAGTGGAGCTGCCGGGATTAGAACCTGCACCCATATGGGATCCCGGCGTATTCAAGGTGAGGACTTTAGGCGCTAGACCACAGCGCTGGGCACTAAGCAGAAACTTCTAAACTTGTTAGAAACTGGGTCACAAGTAAGGAAAGCAAGTAATCAGAGGATATTCATAAACTGATAATTTCAAGCTCAAGCAAAGAAGCAGCAACATTTACAGATGAGAACTACTGACGGGGGCCCACTGGGATGGCTTGATGGCTAGATCCTCACCTTACAAGTGCTGGCATTCCATATGGAAGCCTGTTTATGTCCCGGTTGCTCCATTTCCCATCCAGCTCCGTGCTTATGGCCAAGAAAAGCAGGCGAGGATGCCCCAAAGCCTTGGGATCCTGCACCCGCACAGAAGACCCAGAGGAAACTCCTGTCTCCTGGCTTTGAACTTATTCAGCACTGGCCCTTGCAGCCATCTGGGGAATGAACCAACAGATGGAACAGCTTTCACTATGTCTTTCCTTCTCTCTGTAAATCTGATCTGTCTTTCCAATAAAAATAAATAAATCTTAAAACAAACAACTGACAGGTTAACTATATACACTACAAACTATTTAACTACCCATACCACTAGAGGAAAGCATTCCTGTGCATCTCCAGAAAACTGCACATTTTAACAGCAAAAACTGACCCCACTTCATCACCTTTCTAATTCTCTCAGAAAACCACGCTAGTAATATTTGCATGGATTAATTATCAAAAACTTTTCTGTAAATCACAAACTCAAATGGAGAGGCAAAAGAAATATATAAATGTATAAAATGAAAAGTCAGTAAGGTAAAAAAGAAATAAGCTGCCACCCATCATCAATAATCCCTAAGTGGATAACCACAGGAAGGCAACACTTTCTATTCGAGGAAGCCAGCAGCTCAGCAGGGGGACCAAGTGGGTTCAAATCCCAGTTTCACCAACAGCCAGATGAGTCACTTACCTTTCCTGTGCTTAGTTTCTGTGTGTGCAAAATGGGTAACAAAGCCAACTTCAAGTTGTTTCCACAACCCAATTAGCTAAACCATGTTTGCCCAAAGAGCTAAACGCTGCTGCCCGCATCAAAGGCTCCCCATATAGCTGCTGGTTTGAGCCCTGGCTGCGGCACTTCCAACCCAGCTCCCTGCCAGCCAGCACCCCATGCCTGGAAGGCAGAAGATGACCCAAGTGCTCTGGCCTCTGCTTCCACAGGGGAGAGCCAGAAGTTTCTGCCCCTGACTCGGATCTGGCCCAGTCCTGGCCACTGCAACCACTTGTAGAGTGAGAGGACGGAAAGCAATCAGTCTGTCTCTCTCTCTCTCTCTCCATCCTCCAATTCTGCTTTATGAATAAGAAATAAACTTGAAAATTAAAAAGAAACTATGTGTGAATGAAATGTACAAAACACGCACACAGAAAAAGACCCTGTAAACATATCCTTAGCATTTCATACATATTTACTCAACTTTCTATTGATTTAGCATAACTAGCATGTTAAATTATCCTTAATGGAAAAAGCGAGAAGTTTTGCTAATTTTTCCCACTATTGTCTTTGGCAACATAATTGGAGGAAAGCAATTCATGAGGTCATTTACCAGATCTTAATCCATTCTAACAAGTTCTAAATTCATTTAAAAGTTGGAAAAAAAAAAGAATCACCCATTTCACTTTAAACAGACTTCTAAAGTACTATGACCACTTTACTGGTCAAAGGCCCTTCCTTGTCAACAGGACTCACTGCCCATTCCAAGCACACACCCATCACAAGAATAACATCTCAAGTCCTGCCAGCCAATAGCTTAGCAGCATTAGAAAAACGTCTGAGCAATGAGATGCACAAAGTCCTAGGCACCAAAGGAGAAGTCTTGGGAAGGCTCCATCTAAAGTCTTACTCATTCTGCATCAGAAGAAAAAAATAAAACCAGTGAGTCACTTGGATATAAAATCCCTAGTCATTTTGAAGTCAGGGCTCCAAAGTCATTATCCCCTTTAAATACATCAGTTGTTCAACGAAATCACTAAACATCGCTACTACCCATATGTAAGGAAATACGGTGAGAACTCCAAAACCAACAACAAACCACAGACCATCACATCCCAACCAAACAACAACAACAAAAAATCTCCCCCCACCTGCAGAAAATCCCACCATAATACCTGCTAAAAAACTGAAGCTCAACAAGTTGCTGAGAAAACAGGACTGAACATACCAACAAACTCTGTGTGTGTGTGTGTGTGTGTGTGTGTGTGTGTGTGTGTGTGTGTGTGTGTACCTGTGTGCAGACACAGGCCACGCTCCCCCACGCCAGCACACAGCAGGCAGCTCCCCCCACTGCAGCCCTTACCTGCAGCCTGTCCAGTCTTGGCCAGGAGAGACCCCAGTTCCAGGATGCTCTGCTCTTTGACCTGCACTGCCTCTTCATCGTTCTCCTGGATGTCACGCTTGACTGCAAGAGGAGAATGAAAACGGGCTCACAATTCTGAATTCAAAACGATACCCAGAGGGTCCGTCAGCTTCGCACGCCCCTTACAGACTCAGGCCCATCTGCCAAGAGACAAATTCTAGAGTTTAAGGGGTAAAACTTCTATAAACAAAACAACAACAAAAGATGATCATGTACATACAGGAAATACCCCAGATAAATAATTTTTTAAAAAGCTTCTCCTTCAGTGGGCCATTTCATTTTATCCATCAGAACCTCTGTTACCCATATTCACTCAGATTTCCGATGTGGTCCTTCATACCTGTGGTGCTAAGCTCCATGCTGGTCACTAGGTTACGCGAAGATACTACACTGATCTGTGCAAAAAGCAACCACAAACCAAACCAAATTCCAAGTTCCTGATGACTAGAAACACAAAAGCCTTTCCAGGCCTTTCAGTCTGTGGAAAGCTCCAGCTGATGAGTGTGTAGAAATAAGCAATTCTACAAAGCCAGTCTGGAAAAACTATCCTATTAAAGCGCCAGTGTCATCCTGGCTACTCTTAGAGAGACTGCTGTTTTATAAGGGAGCAGCTCCTGGTCAAAAACAAAAAACTTTCTGGTACCTGTCCTGTTTTCAACTGTTAATAATTATCCTAACCCTCAGACAGCCAACAGCCTCTCCTGGCTAGTAGTGATAATTTTACAGATCATCACCACTCAGTACTTTCCTAACAAAGCATCATGACTTGACAAAAACCAAGATTCTGATACTCCATGATGGAGTCCAGAAAGTCAGGGTGTCAAGCGGCAGGACTCCGGCGACCAGCCTTGGGGAAACTCCCTCCTGGGACAGTGGCAGAGCAAGCGCCACTCGCACCACAGCGCTTGCCACAATCTCGACTTCAGCTAGACAATACGCTGGGCACTTGATGCAAACAAAGTGGGGAAACACAGAACGGAGACACGTCTCCCTTCCCCCAAGACCCCCAAGGACGAGGGCATCAGGCTCCTGCCATTGCAACCCCAGGGTCACCAACTTCAACAACACACCAGGCCAGCCGAGGGACAAGCCGGCATCCTGCCAGTCCGGCCGCACGTGCCTGCGCAGACTACCTGTTGATCGCACCCGAACCTTCCCCAACATCGCTGCAGGAGTCAGCCAACGCGCGCCCTCACTGAACCTAAGACCCTCCCGTACCACCTTCCACTTCTTTCTGCTCACACCTGACGCTCCAACACACAGCGACCGGTCGGGGCTACCAACTCAGCCGAGTTGAGAAAATCTTTTTGAAGTTTCCCGTGGCACTGAGCGGGAGGAGGCAGGCGGTTCCAGAGTTCCCTCAACTCGGCAGAGCGGACAACCATCTCCCTCTGAACTCAACTTCCAGGCAGCACGGGAGGACGGGGCATCCCCGGGACGATGAGTCACCTCGGCCGGCCGGGCGGACCCCCCGAAGCCCGCGCTGGGACCCCGAGCCCGGGCCAGGGGCGCGCCCCGACCCTCGGGGGGCTGTGGCGGGGTGTCCACCCCGGGGGCGTCCACTATCGCCAAGGGGCGGGGGTCCTCCCGCAGGGCCGGCTCCGGCCGCGCCTGGCGGACGGGGTGCAAGGAAGCAAACCCGAGCAAGCGAGCAGACGACCAGGGCGGGAAATGCCAAGGCCTCCCGGCTCGGGACTCGGGGCTCGGGGCTGAGCTCCCGGGAAGCCCGGCGGCTCCGGGCACAGCCGAGCCCACCGTGAGTCAGCAGCCGCCCGGGACGCCCGGGGCAGCCGTGTCTGGACTCGTCGCCCGAGCGGCAGCCGGGGACTCCGGGGGGCTCCGAGCGGCCTGCGTCCCCCGGCCCGGCCCCCTCACACACACACAGTGAGTCAGCAGCGCCCGAGCCGGCTAGCCCGGCCCCTCTCGGCTGCCGCCGAGCCGCACAGGCGGCGCTGGGGCCGCGGGACCCGGGAGGCGGCGCGGCGACCTTTACCGATGGAGTGGAGAATGTCGATGGAGGCCTCCCGGTCGGTGCTGAGTAGAGACTGGGCTCTCTGGAACTCCACCACCGCCGCCGCCGCCATCTTACCGCTCTCACACCGTCCCCGGCCGTGGCCGCTGACGCCGGAAACACATACCCGGAGGTCCCGCCCTCTCCGCCCCCCGCCCGCATTCCCAGGGCACCACGGGAGTTGTAGTCTCTGCGCCGGCCCGTAGCAGGTCCTCTGGCAGGTGTGCGCTAAGCTCCCAGCTCCCCCTCGCGGCCGGCCCGGGAAGGAACGCT